TGCTGCACAAAATCTTATCACATAAGTTTGTTTCACTTTTTATGTATTTCAGTTTGTATCTGATCTATATAAAGAGCATGTTGTTCATGAATAAAATCATCTTTTCCTCTTCTGTATTTCAAAACTTTATACTCTGCACCTTCCTCCTTTTTCCCTAAAGACTTACTTCAGTTTTTCCCTAAACAATCTCTCCAAATCCTATTTACTATGTATCGATTACTCCACCCGTCCACTGTTATGTAAAGTTCAGATTTTTAGTGAATTAAGTACTTTAATAGAGTTTAGAAGGTAGTATCTTTACTGAAGGGGAGCCTTGGAGCAACGGTAAAGTTGTCTCCGTGTAATCTATAGGTCACCGATTCGAGCAGTAGAAGCAGCCGTTAACACTTGCATTAGGTTAGGCTGTCTACATCACACCTCTTGGGGTGCGGCCCTTCCCCGTACCCTGCATAAACGCGGGATGTCTTGTGCACTGGCTACCCTTATCCAAGTTCAAACATCCTCAAATTGAGTACAAATGATCACCCAGAAAATTGAAAGATAATTCAGCACAACTCAGCAGCTAAAAAAAATTCTAAAAATATCACTTCTTTGCCACAACCAACTCACCTAACCCCTAATGAGGGCCCTGGGGGGGGGAGGGGGGGGGGGGGACCAGGAGATTTAACAATAGCAATAAAGATTCTACCTTCTAAACTATATTAAAGTACTTAACTTCAGTAAAAATCTTAACTCTATCATTAAAAAAGGGGAATTTTTTTTTTTTAAACTCAAATCAAAATCTTCAACATATACTTCAACAGATTAAAGATATTCACAAATCAACATCAAGATCCATATCTCCAACACAAATTGAACAGAAAAAAATAAAGCAAAAGTGTGAATGTGAATGCAAAAGTTAAATATAAATATATAGATATGAATCAGATTCTGGAATATACCTTTTTATGACTGAATTCAGCTAAAAAAGAATAATGAGAGAGATAAAATAAGGAACAGTATCTTATGCAGTATCAAAATATATGATTTTTAAGCAGTTTGTTGCGGACCCAAGTGAATTTATAGGGAGAGAAAGTTCAGAGAAGGAGCGTTTTGCTGTATTATTGTGTTGATATTTTTGATGAAATTACAGTGACAGGTCACGGTTTACACTAGATACTAGTTATACCATGTGGTTGCACCAAACCAGGTAAAAAAAAAATCTTTTTTATTATTAATTATTTATATGTTGTTTTAACTTAAAAAATTACTTACTCGATTAATTCAAATTCAAACTCACTAAATGAAAGCTTTTCCTGTCAAGGATCTAAGAGTAAATATTGTACATTATGTTTTTGTTTAACATTTGGCGTGTTCGCCCCACTAATTCAAATTTTTGCTATATGTGGATCATTAAAAGAGGTAGCAGTTTGTATCAGAAATTTATGAAATTCGAAGTCGAGACTTTTAGTTAATATCGAATGAATTTCATCTATCCACAACACTCCTTTGATAATATATCCTGTAAAAGAAATTCTAGGGGAAAACAAAAAAATAGAGGTGATTATTAACCATAATTAAGTCAGTAATATATATATATATATATAAGTATATTTTATTAGATATTTATTGAATTAGGAGAAAAACTAGATACTAATAAAGGAAATATCATATTTAAGTAGTCAAAAGGAAAATTAATATTTGAGTAGTGAACTTGAGCAGTTTTCACAGTTTTTTTTTAAATTATTTTATATGAATTTGTTTTTTAATTTTGAAGTAAACAATTTTTCTTTGATTATACTTTTTAACATAATTTTTAACAAATAGTTATATATTTACATTGCTTTATAGTATATAGTAGCTTATTGTAGTAGACAAATTAAAAATATTGTACGGAATCATGTGGGGTCCACTCTCCTTCTGATGTCGACTTTAGGCCAACGACAATTGAGTGAATTTTACCCCATTACTTTCCTTTTTTTTTTTTTATTTCTCACCCGGTATCCGGTATGTCCCACATTGGGGGGTAAAGCGCTCCCTAACAAAGGCGACTCCAAACCCAGGGGTTCGAACTCGAGACCTCTGGTTAAGGATGAAGGAGTACTTACCACTGCACCACAACCTTTGTTGGTACTTTCCTTCTTTTTTTTTTTTTGTTATGTCACACAGTCTAAATTTTAACCATAGGGCTTATAGACATCGCTATGTCCTCCTCTCCTAACTATTGCCCATTTATTCTGGAATAACCTTCCACAGATTCCAAAGGCTAAAAAAGCCGGAGTAGTTGAGAGTCCCAATCTTCTTGAAAAAACGTGATACGCAACTCTTGTTACTCATATTAGTATAAATATTACGTAATTTTGTCTATTGAAAATTGGATAGATGAAAAGGTATCACTTAATATTTTCATGAACAATAATTACCGCTTTGTCCCAATTTATATAAAGTAGTTCAGAGTAAAAGTATCAAAATATTTAAACTTTTAATGAAAATTTGAACATAAATTCTTGATTGCTTTAAAATAAAATATTACATATTTGAGGATTGCATGAAAAGTACGAATTCGTTTCTATCCATTGGCACAAACCTCCTAAATTCTGGTATAAATTAAATGTGGCTGGAGCTTTTTTAGAAACTAACATGCAAGCAGGATTAGGAGGAGTTTTCAGGAATAGCACTGGGACATGGGTGGCAGGATTTCAAAAAAATATCCACACTGCCAACGCGCTGCAAGCTGAGATACTTGCCATACAAGAAGGACTGAAGCTGGCCATGGACCTCAATCTATTTCCGCTAGAAATTGAATCAGATGCATCAGAAGCAGTGAAAATACTAACTTTGGAGCCAAATTTTTCTAACCCTACCGTTCGTTATTGCAGGTCGTTAATACTCCAAGGGAGGGAGATGCTCATCAGGTATAGCTTTCGCCAAGGAAATGCTACTGCACATCTGTTAGCTAAGGAAGCGTTGAAATTGCCTATTCTCAACAAACCTTATCGATTATCAAGCCCACCTTTTTTCGCGATACAACAATTAGATAAGGATAAGGAAGGAATTGTATCTTTTGTTGAACAAGTCGCGTATGATGCATGTAATATGCTAGTAAGCTTAGACAACCAAAGCGTCCTATATGACACTAGTATGGAATGTATGCTATCTAAACCACCTTAGTACTAACGCAATATTATCTTTATTTTTCAAAAAAAAAAAAAGAGAAAATATAATAAAAAATTATTTGATTTCTAAATAATAATATATTCACCTAAAATAAGATCGGCGCGGAGTAAATGTTAAACAATATTCGGGTTATTTCTTGAAGTACTGCTTAGACTATAACGCACTATTAATCAAATAGTAATTTCTAAGTTTCTTACAGTTTACAAGTTGAGTTTTACAAATTACATCCTTTAAACTTGAGGTTCTATTTCATAAATTAAATCGAAGTTATATTCCAACGTGCCTGGGGATTGGAGCGAGTTTAAGTCTTACCAATTGTTTGTATATTTCTTCCTAAACTACCCTTACATTAAATGGATAAAATTCGCGACTAAAATATTATTTGAAAACAGAATATAAAAGGTAAAGTCAAGATTTAAAATTTATCGACCATAACTCATTTCAATTATTATAGTATACAAAATTAAATATCTATACATAATTAGAGTTATTTAGTACAAATGCAAAGTCTAATAAAAAATTACTAGATTCGGCTGAATTCGTAGCAATATTGTGGCTCAGCCCCTAAATTAGTGTCTTTGTTTAAGTAAATTTTTGGAGAAAGAAATGTTTATTAAATTACAGTTCAGATAATTCCTGCTCTTGTAACCTTTTGTCAATTATTTAATATTTTCGTATATTCTTGTATTTAATTCCCAAAACGTTCTTTAGACAACGAACAACAGAAATTTATAAATGGCACAGAAACCGAAACACTCATAGCTGGAGTCTGTTGATAAGTGGGACTCGTTATTCTTACATCTCGGGGATCGACTTACTATTTTAGTTAAGCTGTAAGCTCGTACTTAATTGTGACTTCACCCCTTATTTCTTTTTTAATTTTTTTCATCGCATTTTGCAAAATTTGAGGAGCCTCAATATGCCTGCACAAATGTAGACTTGACATATCTCTGATATCTTGGTAAATTTATTAAATATGAGAGTTACTTCTTAAAGCGAATCCGATCCTATAACCGTCTTCTTTATTTGAAAAATGCACGACGCTATAAAAAAAAAAATCATTTACAAGACAATATAGACTTTCTCAAAAAGCCTTCGCCCTCCTATTCAATGAGGCTATTAAAGAACCAGTTTCCTTCCTTAAACTTCTTTTCAGTGAGTGAGCTCCTTAAAGCTAAAAATAAAATTTAAGTTAAATTGTTTTCAAATTTAAAAAGCTGCTAGTATATGTTTTCAAACAAAAAGGGAATGTTGAACTGAAACGGAGGGAGTAAGAATGAGTAAATCCTATTAGCTGATAACAACATGAGATATCAGGTTCAAATTTAACTATAATACTCGGTGTGAGTCCATTCAGTCGTTCAATAAATTAGTTAAGGTGTATATAAACTGATTTTGATATCATTGCATCTAACAAAAAGATGGCCATTCACTCACTGAAAAGAAGTCAAGGAAGATTGTTATTGCATAAAAAAAAGACGGTCACTCACTCATTTGCATCTGCTGAATGTGTTTTACTCTCACAAAAATAAACTCGTATTTTAAATTTATGTAATAGCCCAACCCACTAGTGATATTGAGGTTTTAAAACGCATCACTAGAGTCTAAGGCTAGTCTACTTATATAGACAACATCTCTCCAGTGTCGTGTTTGATTTGGTTGGGGTGTCACATACACCTCCTTAGAAGGACTCAACGTCCTCGCGTAGGTTTGCCCCACCATCATTCAAGGTTGCACGCAGAGTGACTCTGATACCATATGTAATAGCCCAACCCACTAGTGATAAAATTAGTACTAATGGTACTAAACAATATGTACTAGTCATTACAGTAACCAAGTAGAAATTGTGTCTAAAGAATAAGTTCCCTTAAACTAGAAATAAAAACAATATAACCAGTTTTGGAACATCCCGCAGCAGACAGTTTTAGTATATCTTGGCGAAAATTCAGTACATTCTTCAAGAGATCAAAGTAATGGAAGTTAATCAGTTAATAAACTTACATAGTATAGTTAAGCACCAACAATAAGTATGATACTCATAAAACTTTCAACAGCTGCACTTCAAAAATTAGAGGCTCCTTCACATGAGACATAAGGCTACGCCTTGGTCCAAACTGCAACACGACAAATATCCGTTTGATGAACCAATAACATCAACTACAGTCAGACCTCTCTATAACGACATCCCTATATAATAGTCATTCACTATAAAACCCGAGTTTTTCTCGGAACCGATTATTATATTATGTTATAATATATGTCCTCTATAACAGCATTTCACTATAGCAGCCAAAAAATTTCAGAACAAACGAGGTTGTTATAGAGAGGTTAGACTGTATAAAGCAGAAAAGGAACATAGAATCGTAGATTCAGTTAGTTGGAGACCGTAAGATAAGGGCACCAAAAGGATGTTAAATGAATAGATTTCCGAGAACACATACCTCTTCAGGTACTGGTTTTAAGTCTTCATTGATGTATCCTAGTGAAGGCGGTATCAACGCTCTTCTTTTTCCTGCAGTACAGGCCTTACAGCTCAAACAAATAGAACTGTATATTCTAAAAAGTGGCAAATAAGTTTTCCTGGAGATCCTGTCATTTACTATAGTTTGAATATATTTTGCAAACAAAAAGTGAATACTTTTTTAAAGGAGTAGGCACAACCTCCAGGCTTCATTCCAATCAAGACTTCCTTCAGACCTTCAATTATCTGCAGATTCACAGAGACTTGTATGAAAAACAAGAAAAAGGGGCAACCAGGTGCACAAAGCATCCCACATTCACGCAGCGTTTGAGGAAGGGCCGCACCCCAAGGGATGTGATCTAGACAGCCTACCCTAATACAAGTATTAGTGGCTGCTTCCACGGCTCAAACCTATGACCTATAGGTCACACGGAGACAGCTTTACCGTTGCTCCAAGGCTCCCCTTCCATAAAGAAAACAAGAATGCAATTAATTATCAACTACCCCCAACCCTCCCAAAAACTAGACATATAGAAAGAAGAGGGGAGAAATGCAGTTATGACTAATGATAGTGACACAGAAAACGTAGATATCCTTAACCTCAGCAGTCTTGATGGCAGGGGAAAGTGAAGGAGAAGAAAGGGGTAATGCAGCTACTACAAGAGGTGTTCTATGCTAGGGGGGAAGAAAAGGTCAAAGTTAGAAACGTTTGAGCGCAATACATCTTTATCATCACCAGTTGACGGCAGTATAAATTCTGTATCTGAAAGATCAGAATAATACAGGTTATCGCTCAGCAAGACAACAGCTTGTCCTAGCAGCAAAATACGTTGCCTAAACAATGGTTATTCTTCTTGTTAGTTTGTTACTAGTTTAGCTGACTTCTAAGTTTCTCTGCATTTCTTCTCTCCACTTTTTTCCTTGTGTGCGTCCTTCGGCAATATGTACCAAGACTTTTCTAGCATGTTTTTAAGGAATTGTAAGGAGATAGGAACAAAGATATATTTTTGAACTCATTAAGAAACCCCGTCTACAAATTACCTCTTAACACCTATTTGATTAACTAAGTGACACTATTGGACCACCCATTTTGAAGGCACAAATGACGTTAATTTAAAAATAGGTGCAATATAACTTCTTGACAGCTTCCAGCAATGCCACATAATGGAAATCAGAAGGTTGCTATCTGACCTTACGTGTTCAATTTAAGCCCAAAGCTATAACAAAAACGGTAACCTGTGTATCATCCAGAGGAAGTATGACAGGGGAGCTTTCTCCGCTGAATTGGTCCACCGTACTACATTGAAGCAAAATGAAGAAGTTCAATGTCAATTCCACAGAATAGAAGAAAGCATGACATGGATTTACTGACAAAAAAATATCCGGAGGAGCAGTACATAAACTGAAAACAGTACCTGTGGACAAAATATCCATTTGATCGTCGGCAGACATAATTAATTTCGACGATATCTCCTTCATGAGCCTCTGGTCCTTCCCCTTCAACAACATCTTTAGAAGATGCAACAACTCATGTTAATACTCGGAAATAAAATAAGAACGACACTGAGGGCTTGATGTGCCCCCTTCCCAGCATAATATGAATGACTTCTTCATTAAATGGAACTTAAAACTGTACGGAATGAGATCATCAAACAGTCATTTTCAAATGTAAGCCGCTTTTCCTCTTAAATCAAACAGTCATTTTCAAATGTAAGCCGCTTTTCCTCTTAACCTTATATATGGCTGTATGCATGCTCCAAGCGTTAAACATATTTAACTGCAGCACGTCAAACATGGAAGCATGTTCAACTCAATTAGAACAGCTCGAGCTCCAAATGATTGAAATAGTCCGGAAGAAAACTCAAGTGGACTTCGTGTAACATCAAACTTGACTTGTTTCTGCAATAAAGAAACACACGCTAGACTATTTTCTTCAACTTTTTCGCCGGGTCAAATTATACAAATTCTTATCCTGTATATATGCTGTATGCTTCCTCCAAATGTTAAACATATGAAACTACAGTACGTCAAACATGGAAGCAAGTGATCATCTTCCATTCAACTATAACAGCTCAAGCACTAAAATGCTTGAAAGAGTCGTGAGAAAACTCAACTGGAATCATGTAAAATCAACCTTGACTTGTTTATTCAATAATGAAACACACACTAGGCTATTTACTTCAGTTATTAACCAGGCCAAAAAACTCGTCTCGACTCATATAATGTTCACCAATATCTTGAAGATGCATATACATTTTTATTCACCACACATAAGCTTGTATATCTTATTATTTACTACTCCCTTAAGTCACTTTTCGTTTCAACTATTAATAATTATAGAGGGGACACTTGATAATGAAATCACACAGCACACTAAACCTTTGTTTCAATTTTATCACATGCAAGCCCCTAAATTAAGATTTCAGGATTTGATGATATTGTCCCTAACAAGCCAAGCTAAGCTGGAGCTTGAGCTATACTATGCATTAAATAAGTCAAATAGCAATGAGAACAGCTACAGCCAGGGTTGTTATTAGCTCGAAGTACAGCTAATAAAAAATCTTAATTAGAAAACTGCTTGAAAATATTTGTTCATAACCTTAAAAAGGGATGTACCTTGTATCCTCACTCCACTAGCAAGCTTTAGAGTCCTGAATGCTTCAAATCCAAATTAACAACATCATTAAAATAATGACAGCACTTATTCTAGGCCATATAGACAATTTTATTGTGGAGATTAAAGAAATGGAAGCAACATTTACCGGATAACATCAGGTTCTTTCATCTCCTGAACTGGCGCAGATAAGACAGGACGAGTACTTACGAAAATAGGACTCAATCCAACAAGTTGCAGGACTGACCTTCTTAGCAACTTTTTGATATTTAGAGATGGCACCCTTTCATCTGAGCTTTTAGGTGCAGCAATCTTACAATGCTCAGTGTCTTTAAAACTGTTAGCATAAACAAGTTACAAATCACAAGTAGGATTAAGCAAATGACACATCTAATATTCTTCTTCTTTTTCTTCTTTCTTTGTCTTCTTCTGTTTTTTTCTCTAACTACAAAAATTCCATTCATCCATATATTGGACCATCTTGCATCAAGTTTGTAAAATCTAGGCTCTAACTATTCCGTGGTGGAGCCGCATGTATTGAATCTCCTTCATCCGAAAATTACATTGTGCAACAGGGTAAAATAATTTTTTGTATATATATAAAAATTTTAATCCCCTTGATAATTTTAAAAAAAAGCTTCTAGTGTCATGGCAGGTTAAAAAATATTAGGGATACTGGTCCTTGACATATATGGTTAAGCACATTCAATTAACTATAATGTGCACTTTTGATCCCTATGCTTGTGAATTTTTGTAGAAATGAATTATTAACTGGTAAACTATTTAATCACTCGTGTGTTATATCAAATTTGTGTTGTTACTCCCCATATTTCGAGGATAATTAGTTCTGAAAATAATCTAAATATAAGATAATTCCTATATAAAGGGACCAAAATCACACAGTTGAACTAATTAAAGGTAAAATGTGCTTAGAATTCCTGGTTCCGCCACTTTAATCATTGCTAAACAACATAATTTTGTCTATGCAAATCATTACATCATAAAAAATCACGATGACAAGGAGCATAATTAGCAAATTGTTCGAGCAATAACTAAAACAATAGTCTCTTATGTTATATGACCACCACAAACTAAAGGCGAATTCAGGATTTTAAGTCGTTGCATATAGTACGTTTAACCACTACTCCTTTTCGATAATAGATTCGAATTTCAATAAATATGAATCTAGATAACCATTTCATCTACCTCATGAAACTAACAACTAGATAACGAACAACTGAAGGGGAGCATTGGAGCAACGGTCATGTTGTCTCTGTATGACCTATAGATTACAGATTCGAGCCGTGAATCAGCCATTGATGCTTGCACAAAGTAGGCTGCCTATACCGGCTGCCCTTTTTGAACAACTAGATAAACTATAAAGTATTATGGAAGAACACTAATTAAAAGCAATCGAAGCTGGAGCGAAATGAGAACGCTTGTTACCATGGGGTTTGGGACGCTAAGAAACGTCTGAATTGGAGACTGGCTTGAAATTGAGGAGCTTCCATTGTCGATTGAAGGTTACCAATTGAGCAGCTAATGGTGGGGGAACTTTTTTTGCATTAACGGATAAGAGGAGACAGAAATAAAAGGGGAGAAATTAAAAAATAGCCAGGTTTAGGACTGGTCGTTCAAAAATAGCCCAATTTCAAAACTAATCGAAATTTAGTCACTTTTATGTAAAGATAAATTTGAGCGAAAACAATGTTCAAAATCCGGAAAATACTCCAGTATATTATGCTGGAGTTCCAGCATAAGTATACTTGAACTCCAGCATATTATACTGGAGTTCCGGGATAAGTATGCTGGAACTCCATATGCTGGAACTCCAGCATAATATGATGGAGTCCCAGCATAAGCACACTAGAACTCCAGCATAATATACTGGAGTTCCAGCAAGTGTACCGGTCCAGTATAATATACTGGAGTTTGGAGCACCGGTGCTCCAGTCTCCAGTATATTATACTGGAGCCAACAAAGTATACCGGTCCAGCATAATATGCTGGAGTTCATACACAGGTGCACTGAACTCCAGTATATTATGCTGGACCGGTCTCTATTGCAGCAAAATAGTGGCTATTTTTCATTGACTTGGTAAACGCTGGCTATTTTTGAATGACCAGTCCGAAAACTGGCTATACCGTGCTATTTTTACAAATAAAAGACGGTAGCATATAATGGCGTTTGGACCATTTATTTTAAAATTTCTATGATATCACTCAATCTCATATACATTTTTTAAGTTTTAAAATCAATCTCTTAGGCCCGTTTGTCCATGAGATTTTTTTTTTTCCTTTTTAAAAATATATTTGTTCATAAAATTTTAGATTTTTTTTTGAAAAAAAGGCTTTACTTGATAAATTGGATATTATAAATGCCTCCACCAAAGTGTGATCCTCAACCTCGCTGATAAAAAGGATACATCACATGTTAAACTTTTTATTGTTTGACACGTGTAATTAGTGTGTCCCATTTTATAAAAATTAATTTATCAAGCTTTGAAATTCTTTATCTCTCTCTTCTTCTCCCAGGTCACAATGCGAATACAATCTGAAAAACTTCGAAATGTGCCTACAAAGTTTCTCCAGCTATTGTCATTTAAATGCCTCTCTCAAAATCCTCCTTCATTTCTTCCCCCTCATAACTATCTCCTTATTTAGATCACCATACAAAGATACACAGAAAAATACCTGTGTTTCACTTTTTTGACACTGGTAATTTGATTCTTTTATAAATATTAATCAAAAAAATTATAAGTTACGCGCCTTGTAGCAGTGATGTGCACGCATTATTGCCATGTCATTTACACATCTTTCATATAGGCATAATCAACGGTTAAACGTGTTTATAATACCCATTTTATTAAGTAGGAGTGCTCAAATAGAAAAATTGTAAGTTTGTCTATCGGCTTTGCGAACAGGTGCAAGTTTAAGTGGCCACGAGGTCATTTCGCCTAAATTTTCATAAACCAAAAAGTAGTTTTTCAAAATTTCAGAAAAAACTTTTTTCCCTGCTCACAAAACTACAATATTTTTTTAAGTGAAATGCATGTCCAAATATAATTTCAAATTCCAATTATTATTCTTAACTTAACTCCAAATATTACTTTTTTTCAAAAATTAGAATTTTTATGTCCAGACACATACTTAATATTGTATGTGCTATGATGAAAATATCACAAAAAAATTAACACCATTATTAGTAAATGGAGTAATATGTATATGTAAAAGTTTAAATTAATTCGGTATAAGAAATCTTACGGGTAGAATCATTAAATTTAAGTTCTGAATCCATAATATATATATATATATTGAAGACTCTCTAATTTCAAAGTTGTCATTTTGCTCCTAATGACATTATCTTATTAATTTGACATGGCTTATAGCTTGGTTGGTCAATGTGTTTGTATTGGGTGATACCCTTTTTTGCTTGAGCCCGACCGGGTTGGATCCGGTCCGGAGCAAGTCGGGGCCATCGAACCCGACCTGGATGCAAGGTAGAACGACGGCCACGTCTACAACCGAGGTCGAGTCATTTCGAGACCGTTACAGAGCTCGAAAGGAATCACCACCGGATGGAGAAACACACAAGGTTGGAAGCCGGGCTCGTAACGGATGACCAAGCGTCGCCGGATATCTCGCCCAAACGTGATTTTCTCAACCACTTCAGGCCATTAAGGTGTAATTACAGGGATCCACGATGTAATCAATTTACCTACCTTATTTTTACCCTTAATCAGAATGTATAAATGGGGATCAAGCACAATTGTTCTAAGCAATATTATATTCTGCGATTATTTACTTTAACAGCAATTGTTGAGTCTTTATCTTTATTTCCCTCAACCTAAAAGCCTTTTGTATCTTTTAGTTCACGGATCCTTAAAACCCCATATAAATTCAATTGTTATCCGGATTCGAGGGTAAAGAGTTTGGCGCCCACCGTGAGGCTAAGGATATTGGTGAGCTCTTTGATACTCTTTCTTGACGCATCGCAATACACTAGTTCTTTGCAAAAGAGTCCATCTTACATTCAAATTACCGACTCATAGAATGGCACAATCAATTAACAACGAACTTGAACAACAGACAGGAAACAATGGAATGCCCGGGCTCGAAAACCCGATAGATGCCGGTTCCCGGATGGCGCTCAACACTGATCAGGCCTCCGGATCATCGCATAGCGTCCGGGGAGAGGACGATTCGAGGGCCCAGGCAGTCGGCGAAGAGACTATCAACCTTAAAATGATTTTTGACATGCTGCAAGCCCAGCAATCGGCTATAGCTCAGCTCCAGAGCCGGGTCCAGGAGCCTGTCAGGTCCGAGGAGGCTCCCCGTGCAGCTGCAATCATCAATCCAACCCCAGTACAGCCGGAACGGGGTGGGCCGGATGCTGATTCTGCGGTTCTTAGGAGGCTAGAAGAACTGACCGAACGAATCGAAAGGGGGGAGAAAAAAATCGAGGCCAACAATAAAAAAGTAGAAACATACAACTCCAGGGTCGACCAAATACCAGGTGCACCTCCGGTCCTGAAGGGCCTTGACGCTAAAAAGTTTGTACAAAAACCGTTCCCATCCAGTGCCGCCCCAAAACCTATCCCTAAGAAATTTAGAATGCCCGATATCCCGAAGTATAATGGGACCTCGGACCCAAACGAGCATGTGACAGCATACACGTGCGCGATTAAGGGAAACGATCTCGAAGATGATGAAATCGAGTCAATTTTGTTGAAAAAGTTCGGAGAAACCTTGTCCAAGGGGGCAATGACGTGGTATCATAACTTACCGCNACCAAGCGTCGCCGGATATCTCGCCCAAACGTGATTTTCTCAACCACTTCAGGCCATTAAGGCGTAATTACAGGGATCCACGATGTAATCAATTTACCTACCTTATTTTTACCCTTAATCAGAATGTATAAATGGGGATCAAGCACAATTGTTCTAAGCAATATTATATTCTGCGATTATTTACTTTAACAGCAATTGTTGAGTCTTTATCTTTATTTCCCTCAACCTAAAAGCCTTTTGTATCTTTTAGTTCACGGATCCTTAAAACCCCATATAAATTCAATTGTTATCCGGATTCGAGGGTAAACAGTGTTAAACTTAGCTTATTTTGAAAGTATTTATTATCAAAAGTATTTTGGCAATAACAATTTTTGTTTAGCTAGTTCATTTGAAAAATTGCTTTGGTTAACTTTTTTTTAATGTTTGACTAAGATTAAAAACAATACTTTTAAGTGTCAAATTATAAAAAGAATATGCATATAACTTGATTCACGAAAATTGGTAAATGCTTATTTTTATTAATAAATTAATGTTGCAATTAATAAGATATGAGCATCATTTAGAAGGTTAACATTATTTAAATGATAATGAGCCTACATGTTATGATTTATAAATTTTAATTTAGTTTAACTTCTTAATGGAATATGCTTACCAAATAAGTAGAGAACCAAATCTAAACAAAAAAAAAAAAAAACCATTAAAAAAATTCCGACTAAAGAAAATTATTAGTACTCCTGCAATCATGATGTAAAAAAAATAAAATAGAGTAAAATATGTGTTTGAATACATAATTGGCTGAAAATTATAACAAAGAACCTTCTATATTTTAATTAAAATCAAATCTTTTTTCTGACATCGCACATAATATTTTATATTTAAAATATTCTCACTTTAATTATTTCTCCTCACTTATCATTGGTATAACATGGATAAATAAGGGTTGTCTGATTTAATCAGTATATTCCAAGATTATAATCCCGAGAACTAAACCAGGATTATAATATGGATAACTTATACCTTCTATATGAGATACTGTATACCTATATGTGGTAAAAAAATAATATCAATTTTAGCTCATACCTCCAACTAATTATAGAATAAATTTAATCTTAAACAAGATAACCTACCTAATCTCTTGAACCAAATTGTCCTTAACAATATGAAAATTTAGGGGATAATTCAGAAGTCTATTACTTATTATTGTACTAATTAATTTGGTAAATATGCTTTTGTTATACGGAGAAGGGTCAGATATATCCCTCTACTATCAAATATTATTTAAAGTTGCCCTCCATCATGCTAATGGATCAAAATTGGCCCTACCGTCTTACTTTGAACATATTTGCCCCTCATTTGACGGAAGGGACAAGTGGCAGCCTTCTAAGTATTTTTGATACCCAACCCGTTATCCATATTGAATACCCTATATCTATGACCCTAAACCTAGTGATTAAAAAAGCGCTCGCTTAATCGCTTTAAGCGAGAAGCGAAGCGAGGCGTAAGGGCAGCGCTTCAAGTCTTTGAAGCGACTCTGGTACGAAAAAGCGATCGCTTCTCTGTAAAAAGTGAGAAGCGGTGAAGCGAGAAGAAGCGAGAGAAGCGTCCGCTTCTGTGTTTAAAATTAACCCAAGCCCTATTTTATTTAAAAACGAGTTTGTAAACCGTAAACACTGTTTGGACTTCTTCAACAACAGCGAGACTAGGATTTTTCTTCAACAAGAGCAGCGATTCCTTCTTCTCTTCTTCATCAACTTCAGATTTCTGAAATTATCTCAAAGCATC